TTTTTATCACAATTAGAGCTGTTCTAACTGTGATTTTTTTTCGCATTAAAATATTTTGTATCGATTTATTAATTGTGAAATAATAATTTAAATCACTTTCGTATGTGCCAGATGATTTAAATTGTTAGTTTTGTGTGTTTGGAAATTGCTGCAATTAAATCAATTTCGAGTCACGAATCACTTAGGTTTTTTAAAAATACTTTTAAATTTTTTTATGAAAATCAAGTTGAAACAAATATAATTAGATCGGATAATTTTATCATTACATCTGGATAAGTTTTTGCTCGGCTTGGTGTTTGGGATGTTATAAAAAAAGTCACTTTTATTTATTTATTTATTTTTTTTAAAAAAAAATAAATAAATAATTCTAAAAAAAAAATAAGAACTCCTTTGTGTAATTTTCTCAAACGTGACATGTATGATGTGACACTCTAAAAAAATTAAAAAAAATTTAGTGTATTTTTTTCCAAATGTGACACTCTAACGTGGCGGGGATGATATGATATCGAAAAAATGAACTTAGCCTTCTGGGTTCTTTTGGCAGCCTATTACCCGTTTGTTTGCTTTCACTGACTTAGGTCGTGAACATTTCTCCAACCCGTCAATGAAATGAAGAGAAAGGCTTTCCTCTTCGATCCCATCCTATGAGCCCTGCGAGCTCACGAGTCTAAAGTGATGGTCAGTCACTTGGAGGAGCACGAGGGAAGCACTCCGTCACTGACTTTCATATTGGAAGTGTTCCTCATCCCCTAGCCCCGTTGAGAGTTGAAAACCTTCCTGACCAGAGTGCCTTTCACTCGACTTCTCCTGGGGAAGTACTTGTTCCCTTCACCAACCAATCTTCGGATTCAAAAATTGGAAATATAACTGTTTTAATCTGGCATACTCATAAGAATGAAGCATGCATTTATATTACAACAATGTGACACACGTACAATACTAGAATATAAAACTATTATGCAAAAAAACTATTGATCACCTCGAACTCTCCACATCTGTAAAAATCTACGGGTCAAGGCCTCATATCTCTCACGAGCAGCAAAATCATCTAGCTCCTGAACTTACCTCCTGGCAAGCTCACTCTACGTAGATTGGGAACCAAGTCAATAAACCCCTCAAATTGAGCTTGTTGCTCCGCATAATGGCCAAAAATAAGGCAATACTAGGAAACCTCAGGGAGTTGGATTAAAGAGAAATTAAAAAATTTTAAATTTTATTTATTTGTGAGGTTTAATTTAATTTAGAGTTCTATCAGGTTAGTGTTCTATTTTCGGTAACTTGATTTAGGTTCTTCTATTTTGCCTATATATATTGCTTTATACAATAGTTTTAGGTTAGCTTTGGAATATTGATATTGAGTATACGGTTATGGCCATTTTTGTGAGATTAAGGTTTTGACCCGTGTGTTCTTCTTCTCTCTATTATTCTTCTCAAAACTTTTGATCTTTTTTTTTTTTTAGATCATATTATCTCTTTTTTTTTCTGCACAATTTTTTATAAACGGTTAAAAAATGCACTTATTTAGAGCATCGTAAATAACTCCTAAATTGTTGTGGTGTTTCTATTATGATGGTGAAATAGATAAATTGTTAGATCAAAATAAATTATGTTCTATTATGTTGTTATGAGTATTTCTATCAAATTACTTATTTAAATATTTTAGTTAAAATAGTGAGTAAATCACAAAATTTTACTTTGAGCAAAATTAGTTATCAAGTTAATTATTTTAGTTTGGGTAATTTTGACTCAACAAATGTAGTGAGTGGTTTCACCTAGTTTAAAAAAAATATTACTTTTTATATTTTGAAATTACTTGTGTTGAGTTTATAAAAAAAAAAAAATTAATTAAAATAAATAAAAATAATATTTAAATAATCTAAAAAAAGAATAGAGAGTTTGTTGAATAAGCCAAAAAAAATAAAGAGTAACTTTTAAAATGTAACAAAATTTTAACTAATTTGTAGTCTTGATTATAATACATTTTGGTGACTTTAATTACGGGAAAGCGATATTTGAGGATAATGCTATGGATGTGTATCATATGTAAATTATGATGTTTGTGATGTTGCTTACTACAAATGTTACAATCAAATATTCTTTAGTTATAATCTTAAAAAAAAAAAAAAAAGCAAAAAGAGTTATAACAAAAATATCATAGATAAAACTAAAAAAAAAATTGGATCATAAATAATGTTATAACAAACATTATAATGAGTCATATCTAACACCACAATAAATTATAACCAAATAGGGGCAGAATTGTGTACGGGCCAATTTTTGATAATTTGGGAACTTATCTGTAGGTCCTATACACAAAATTCAAAACTCATCTAATTCCAAAATAAAACACTTGTACTAATTATTTATACATATTTTTAATTGTTACCAAAAAATTTTATTTTTTTATAAAATTTAAAGACGATGCTACATCTCACTACTGCTGGATTTCCGTCAGACGGTTACCAAAGACTCGCTGGAACGTTCAACATCACCGGAAAATCGTCGGAGTATCGTCACAAATTCATCAGAATGTTCTAAACGTCACCGGAAGTCGCCGAAATATCTACAACGTTCGCTAGACATCAAAAATATCACTGAAGACTCACCAGAATGTCCAAAATATTATTAAAAAAAAGAGAATAAATAGATAAATTAGAGCGAAAAACATAGCAAAATGTGTTAAATATTGATAAACTGACAGAAGAAAAAAAATGTAACAACAAACTAAAAAACAAGCTTTGAAACTGTATCCTTATTAATCAAACTGAAAAATATGTTATGAAACTGCAAAATTTTATAATTCTAAAGAATATTATAAAATTGTAAAATTTTACAGTTCTAAAGAATGTTATAAAACTGTAAAATTATACAATTTTAAAATATGATTCCTTTTAACACAAAAATAATTGAAATTATAAAATTTTATAGTTTTTCACCGTTGTAAGAAAAACTTGAAACAATTTATTCAAAATTTATTAATTTTTTCTATTAAAACAGAAAAAATAAAAGAGTATAGTAAAGAAAAATGAAAAAAACTTAGAGATCGAAAGAAAGAGATAGATATAGAGATATGATTCTACTATTTGGCTTAGATCTAGCCAGATCTGACATAGATTTACTCAGATCTGATGTAGATCTACTCTTCTTTTTCGTTGGAACTTCATGTCTTTCACTGTCAGTGAGTTTGAATCAAGAAGTTGATACTTGGTAGTTACTGGTGAACCCCAATTAATGGTGGTCACCGGTCGCTGATGACTGTAGATCAAAAAGAGAAAGAAAATAAGGAAGGCATGGTCATGGTCGGATATCAAAGAAAGAAAGATAAAGATAAGAAATAAGGTGCAAAGAAAGGAGGAAAAAAATGCACACAGAACTTTTAAGTCTACTCAGAAGGTTTTGGTATTAAATAAAATACACACTTTTCAAAAAGGACTTGTGGATAATTTACCCTTGATAATTTGTATTAATTTTATATTTATGAGTATTTATAAAATATATAATGCGATGATTTCTTAATTTTGTAAAAATTATCTTTCTAACTTTCTATTTTATTAATATTTCACCATGTAGAGTGAAACGATCTCTAATTATTTTACATTTTAAATAATAACATCAATTTTATCGAGTCAGATTTATTCATATAAGAAACACATGTCACTTATTGTTTCAATTTTAAAAATCAGATGATATGTATATGTTTTTATGAGTAAGAGTTCAAAATTTCATTCCTAAATTCATTCATAATGAGATAATAAGTGTTGGGTCTTAATTGATTGATTTTTACATGAATCAATTAACACATAACATTCAACGTCATTGAGTGTAAATTTGATGGTTATGTTTTAAGGATATTAATCTCATCACTATTTATTTATTAGATTATGTTAATCAATAAAATAACTTAAAAGAGTGGTTTAATTGATTGTATACTGAGATCAAATCAACTTCAGAACTTTTAAAAATTTAAAAAATTATTTGTTAGATTTATTTAATTTTCTCATGAAATACTTCTTTTGCAATGCTTATATAAGAAATTATGTTAAATTAATAATGTATTAAAACACAATATTCCCCTGATTCCGCCCCCATAATTAAATAACACAAAAATCGTAAATGGAAAATATGGTACACACTTTGTACCATAGAATTCTCCTCTTAGAAGTATAACTCGGGAGTACAACCCAACTAACTCAAATTTAAATGTAAATTTAGTCATGATCTAGATGAAAATTTATTAATTTAAATTTAATTTGGTTAAGATTTGAACACAGATTCTCATAATCTGAGCAACCTTAACCTAGCCCAAACTCTTCGATATAATCTCGACGGTGAGTCTAATAGTCAAGTTTAGATCAAACTTGGACAAATCTCTTGAGTTGAGCTTGAACAGTCAAGTTTAGATCAAACTTGGACAAATCTCTTGAGTTGAGCTTGAACGAACAGTCGAGTTTAGATCAAACTTGGACAAATCTCTTGAGTTGAGCTTGAATGAACCGCGCTCAATCTAACTGAATCCGCTCAAATTGCAATGCTAGACATGATGAATCCAAATTTGATAAATTTGGAATTTCAACTTAAATAGTAAAATTGGATAAATTTCAATTTTTTGTAAAAAAGCAAAACCCAGATAATGCATTCCTCACTCTAAAAGGAACAAACAAATAAGAGAACTCTGGATCTCTCTCTCCACTATTTTTTTTTGGCAAATCAATGGCCACCCAGAAGCCTATTCCATCAGCCACAAAAACTGTTGGTGAGAGGAAGGTCCAAGGAACACCTACGCGGCCACCACACCACCAGCGGTCAAACAACTAACACAAATACAACAGTTGAGAATTCTAACCAAATGATGCCTTGACGAGTACCCACGGGAAGTAGGGCTGCCAATTCTAATCGCTCTGCTTTGTGTGGTTAGTGAGTGAATCAGCTACTTTTGCAGCTTCAAATTTTGTATGCATCAACCTATACATACATATAACATACAGAGAGAGAAAGAGAGAGAGATCATAACACATTTTTCACATCATTGATGGAAGAAGAATCCTCAAATGCACTGAACAACTTACTAACTCATGTAACCTAATCACGATCCCAACAATAAAAATAGGGGTTGACATAATAAAAATAGAAACACCAGTCCAAGACTAAGAAACAGAAATATCCCCCATTTACTGCCAAAAAATCACCTGTCAGACAAGATATATTTACTAACCTTTGTTACCCTGAAGCAACACCCTTATTATTATTCATCCCACCTTGACGACCGCCTCTCTCACTTCCATTTTGATCAACACGTTGGTAACCCTCTCCATTTCGTCCACTCGGACCCTTTGGTCGGCCGGAAAATTCCCCCTGGTTTCTGAACTCGTTCCGGCTGTAGGCCCTGCCACCACCATAGTTCCCACGGCTCCTGAAGCTGTCGTTCCGGAATCCACCCCTGCCTGAAGTGTACCTCCCTCTCCCGCTGCTGCCAACTGTAAAATATAAAAAAAAAAAAAAACATATTATATCATCATTCAGGTCAACTCCAAAATGTCCATAAAAGCCTTGGGTTTTTCTCTAACTATAATCATGTGAAAAAAAGAGTTCAAAACTTGCCTCGAGTGGTAGTTCTCTTCTCCTCAACAACAGCTTGGTGACCCCTGATTGTTAGGGGTGAGGCCTGAAAAAGTATGAAATTTTTAACAGGTGTGGATAGCAAGCAGTGCTGATTTTGAGCAGTGATCAGTAGTGTCAAGAACAAACCAAACAAGACAGCCAACCAGGTACAGTTAGAGCTGGTCATTAGTCTGGCTTGGATAGAACCAATGGCTAAAAATAACTTGCAAAATATATATATATATATTTAAAGGAAAAGTTAAACAATCAGACTTTTCAAATATTTGGAACATTTCATATCATTGCTATTGGAAAAGAAGGGAAGATTGTGGAAAACATAACATCAACAAGCCTTAGATTACCTAGCAGTGCATTTACTCACACCCCATTCAAGAAAAGAAAAAAAGAAAGAAAAGGGAATACTCTGATGCAGCCTGCAGATCAACTGCAGTTCAAGGATGAAGGAAAAAGTTCATGCCTGCCACAGACTAATTGAAGGCCAAGTGATGTAGACGGGATTTAAAAATATTATATATTTTTATTTTTTATATTTTAGAATTAATATTTGATTAGGAATATTATAGTTTAGTATAGAATTATTATATTTTCTCATTTAGCTTAGCTATTTTATGTTTCTTGTTTACAAGAATTAATATTTTTATTTTTAAATATTCTTGATTAGCAAGAATATATCTTTCCCCTTTTAGATTTTCTTGATTAGCATGAATTATTTTAGTATAAATAAAGGATAAGCCTTAGGGCAATACAATTTATATTTGATTAATAAAAATTCAGAGTTTTCTTAATACTGTTCATTCTTAGAGAGAGTATCTCTATTTCGGATTTATTTGTGGTTCGATCTTGTTGTTTACTCTTCTTTCCGATATGCTTCCCTGCATCATCAAGGATGGTTAAAGGCCCTTGCTATTTTATGTTTCTTGTTTACAAGAATTAATATTTTTATTTTTAAATATTCTTGTTTAGCAAGAATATATCTTTCCCCTTTTAGATTTTCTTGATTAGCATGAGTTATTTTAGTATAAATAAAGGATAAGCCTTAGGGCAATACAATTTATATTTGATTAATAAAAATTCAGAGTTTTCTTAATACTGTTCATTCTTAGAGAGAGTATCTCTATTTCGGATTTATTTGTGGTTCGATCTTGTTGTTTACTCTTCTTTCCGATATGCTTCCCTGCATCATCAAGGATGGTTAAAGGCCCCCGGAACAAGTGGAGGGTGCTGTTGAACAACCTCAGTAGTGGTTAAACCCAAAAATAATCAATGGAGGTTCTATCAAGTACATTTGGGAATGCTCAATCAGCTACTAATTCAAATCCAAACAAGGAGGATCTTAAAATACTAAACATGTTACCTAGTATATATAATGAAAATTTGACAGCAAATTAAGTGGCCTAGGAAGATGTATGATGCATCTAAAGAGGCAAGTTTCAAAGTTATCAACATTAGTCTGTCTCTATTGTTTTTCAGAAGCAAAGACCAAAAATCATTTGTTTAATCCCATAAATTAATATTTTCCCACAATATGATGATGGGATCAACTTGCTCATTGGGGTTAAAGCATCGACACAACTTATCTTAAGTTGATTGGGTACAAATCCAATAGTTAGAAAAGAAAAATCACATGAAGATGACAAAACCTACTAGGTTCTACAAATATCTCAATTGATGGACTCAAAGATTGAAATACAAGCGCATAAAATTCAAGGTTGAGTTTCTCACCACGTGGGGAGAATGACGAAGTAGCAATTTATTACATTAGATCTATCCTATATGATTGAAAAACGTAATTTATAAATTCTTTCAAGCTTAGAGTCAATTTATGCCAATAGTATATTGATTTTAGCAATTCATTTATTTTTTGAGTTCTACTTATTTTCCAAAAATATTTTGCAGTTGAAACTTAAACAAGATTTTTCCATGTGTGTTGTTCTGAAAGGTATTTTAGGTGTATTATGCCTCTTCGGTCCTGACCCAATGGTAATAGAATAGATTACCTTTACATTTTCAGGGCCGTCAACGAAGCCTACATCACCACACAAAAAATTTAAAAAAATAAAATAAAAACTGCCTGAATAAACTTTAGTGCCTTTGTCTCTTGCAATTAAGAGGCCTGGGGGAGACACTTGCATGGTCTCCTCTGAGAATTTTTCCTAATTCCCCAGTCAATTTCTCTTTCTTCATTTCCTTTTCTTCTTCATCTTTATCACTTCTAATTGAAAAAACCCCAGCAAAGGTTATATTACACAGATATTCATTTAAACCATGTTAAATTTTTGTCCACCTTTTCCATAATGTCACCTAAAAATTTGTGATTGAGTTGGAGAAATGAAGGTTTCATTTTCCAGAGAAAATATTTATTCTCCTTCAGAATGTCTTGAAGGGGGCAAGGGCAGGAGTGAAATAGAGCTAGTAAAACTTAAAAAGACTGAAGAACAGAGTGTTGCAAAGGTACCTGTATAGCAGCCTGCATGGAATCCAATGATTCAAACTCAACAAAGCCAAAACAAAATCCCTGTTGCTGACCACAAGACACATAAAGATGAACTTGTAAATATTGTGTCAAGAAAATGCTGAGTTGGAAAAGAATACAGGTAACATCTGAAGCGGACCTTGTTACTTCGGACTTGGATGCCACCATGTTTAATACGCCCAAATTTTATGAACTCCTCCTCAAGCTGTGCAACCGTTGCATTCAAAGGCAAGTTCCGTATGTATATGGAGTGACCTTCAACTTTAAGGTGTAGGAGTCAAAATTAGAATACCGAATTCAGAATTAGAAAAGTAAAAGGGTACTTACGTGTAAGTCCTAATGAGTGGACTTATTGTTTAATAGGTCTTATGAAAAAAATTTGTCATAAAAAAATGTCACTAATTGTAAATTTAGTGACAATTTATAAAAATCATGACAAAAAAAGTCACTGATTGTTAATTTTTAGCGACATATATAAAAAAAATATTTTTAACGACAATTTTACTAAGACTTATTTTCAATAGGACTTGATGGGAATTAAGTCCAACTATTAGGACCTATTGGTAGTTTACTCAAAAGTAAAAGCAACAAAGATATATTAGACGTGAATCCGCACACTATAGGTAATATATTTAGGAAAAATTACCAATAAGACCTATTTTGCCATTCAGTCATATTTTTTATAACTAAGGCTTCATTTGGCAAGTGGTTATTTTAGCCAAAAAGTCAAAAAGTCACTAAAAAAATCAAAAAACCAACAACTCATACCAAAAAGTCAAAGATTTCCTTTTCTCCCTACTTTTTGCACATCTTTTCGTAAAAAACCAAAAAGTTATCCCAAACATACTACTTTTTTTTACATCACATTTTAGCCAAAAAATCAAAAAGTTACTAAAAAAGCATGTTCCCAAACGAGGCCTAAATTTCAAAAAGTTCAATTCTCCCTGATGGCATGTTTTATTCCAATTTTACAATTTCTTAGTAAAATATAACAATAGTATAAACAATTTTAATTTACTTAAACAACAATTTGATCAAAAGAACTATGGTATAAGATTGATCATTTTATGTTGTCTCGCACTGTCAAAAATATATTGGTAAACAATCCAAAAGGCCTAATTCATTTAATACTTGGTAAACTATCCAAAAGGCCTAATTTATTTAATACTCCATTAAAAGAATTGTGGGAAATAATGTCGTGGCAAATCCATATGTTTTTTGAAGTGCAAGACAACACAAAATGATCAGTCTTACGCCTATGCTTTTGTTTAATAAAATTTGCTTTTTAAATAATTTTTTAATAGAATTGTTATTCATACTTTAACGTGAAGGGTAAACTCGAAATAAAAGACAATCATGGAGAATTGAACTTTTGGGAACAAGTTACCAAAAATAAGACTTAGTTGTCCACTTTTAAATTTGACAGGATTCACTTGAAATCTTAAGAGCAAAAATAGAACTCATTGGTAATTTTTCCATATATTTAACCGCAGTCCACAATAAAGGAGTATGAATCAGGTTATGATGAAAAAAAAGTATGTACAAGTGTCTTAAACACAAATAAGCATCACGAAATAAATTGTTATCTATTTATGCTGATAAGTAAGCAAAAGGATTGATACCTTCCTCATGAGCAGTGGTACTTTCAGGAGCAATGTCACTAACAGGAGCTGATGCTTCTAATTCAGGAGCTGGTTTGGCAGGACCCACTGACTGTTGATCAGCATTTGCAGGTGCCACCCTGATGCTACTGGTAGGAACATAGACTGGAGTAAATGCTTTAGTAACCTTAGTTACCTTCACCTAAATGAATTCAGTCAAATAAACATCACAAGCATCAACACTAAAGCGTGCAAAGGAAGTAACTTTGGGCATAAACTCACCATTGCAGCATAAGATTTCTTCCCCTCTTGAGCTGCAGAAGTATCTGAATTGACAACTGTATTAGCCTCAATCTCACTTGAATGAGTTGGGGGCTCGTCAATAACCTCTCCTTCAATAACTGATTCTTCCTCATGATCCGAGGGATCACAAACTTCGGCGCCATTATTTATATCCTCAGCCTCAAAGGTCACAGCAGGCTCCAATACAGAATGATCAGGACCACGAATGGGCTCTGAAACAAGGACAAAAGAAATCAAATTATGAAGAGAACTTCAATATCGTAATTCAAGGACACAGAAGTAAAGCCAACCTGGATCTGACGGCAAGGGGGGCACAAGAGTATTGTCATTGATGCCATTAACTGACATGGAATTAACCTCCAATGATTCACTTTCCTCAACAAACCTAAACACGTCATTAAGGACAAAGTAGCCCTTCTCTTGTGGAGCTAGAAAGAAGGTTTGAGTAAATTTCCTTCTCACGTTGTCCTTTCCAGTTAAGTATCCTGTTACTAAAACAATCACTCCTTCCTTGTAGGACTCCTGAGCATCTGCAGTTCTTATCTCTGCCTTGTAGTTTCCGTAATCCAAGGATAGAATCCTGTCATTGATGGCCTGATCCAACATAACAAGAACATGATTTTGTTTATCAGACAGTGAACTACAGTTCAAATTTAGAACATTTCATTCAGTGTTATCAAGTTTAGATGGGACAAATTGTGTGAGCCATAAGTACACTAATTGCCTTGGTAACCAAACTCTTTCCAGATAAGAAGATAAAAATTTGCTTCAGGCAAGTTCAAATATAGTTGGGAAAGGAATGGCACAAGCCCCAGTCAATTCTGTTCCACTTAATCCCTCTTTCAAGGCAACATATCTTTCTGGCTAAGGAATGGAAAACACACTTTCCACAATCTACGATTAGACAAATTTCTCAGACTGGTAGCCAGAGAAATCCTGAAAAATCCATCAATAAATGATGAATACCATCATGCAGGCCTGTACCAAGATTAAATCCTAGGCAAAGTTGGCCTGATTTTAACAGTTGGCCACAATAGAAATAGACAGGCACAATGAAAATGACTCATTCTTTAGTGAGAAACTATGAACTAATGCCTAAACAAAAATATTTCATTGCTCTTGTTATCTACTATCAGGAAATCTTTGGAAGCAGAGAACTTACAATAATACAATGCCTCATTCTCACACTTGATAACCCAAACTTTTACCATTGCATCAAGCGACAGACCCTCATCCTTGATAAATTAGCACTTCTCGCATATTCTAAAAAGTCCTTTTCTACCTTTAATTTTTGTTTTTGTTGATTCTTTCAGTAAAGATATATTTTCAAGGAAATATAAATCAATATAACCTAACAACAACCAGCAAAATGGAAGAAATGTTGCTAATATTAGTTTTTTGGAAGCTAAATATTTTCATCCAGACTTGTTGATTGGGGGCAGATTTGTTGCCCTAAGGAGGTGGGTGGTTTGGGGGTGCGGAGTTGGGTGCAATTTAATAGGACTTTGTTAGGAAAATGGTTATGGCGGTTTGCTGGTGAGCGGGATCACTTTTGGCGTAGGGTGGTGGCCTCCAAGTTTGGGATTGTTGAGGGGAATTAGTGGTCAGGGGATGTGTTGGGATCTCATGGGCGAGGTTTGTGGAAAGGAATTTGGCAGGGGAGGGGGGAGTTTGGGAGAGGGCGAATTTTCAAGTGGGGATTGGGGAGAAGGTTAGATTCTGAAATGATAGATGGTGTGGGGAGGTGGTTTTGGAGGTGCGATTCCCTTTGATTTTTAGTATTGCAAGGGACCGGGAGGCTACAGTTGCTTTTTATTTGGGGGGTGGGGAGATGGTGGTTTATGATATTTAGCTTCGGCGTGAAGTTCAGGATTAGGAAGAGGGTCAATTGGGGGAGTTGTTTGGCTTTCTATATGGTTTGGGCTTCTTGGGAAGGGGGGAAGATGTGTTGGTTTGGAATGTGGCGGGTGCCAAAGGTCGGTTTTCTGTTCGCTCCTTTTATCGGAGTTTGGTGGGGGAGGTGGGTTGTGTGTTTCCATGGCAGAGTATATGGGTGCCTTGTGTTTCTTCTAAGGTAGTTTTCTTTTTATGGATGGCTGCCTTAGGCCAAAATCTTATAGTTGATAATCTGGTTCGCCGGGGACATGTGTTAGTCAATCGTTGTTGTATGTGTTGTGTGGAAGCAGAGTCTGTTGACCATTTATTTCTTCATTGTTCTGTTGTTTCGCGACTTTGGGGGCTGGCATGTTCCTTTTTTGGGATTATGTGGGTGCAACCAAAGGGAGTTGTGGACATGCTGTGGATTTGGCGGGGGACTCGTGTTCAGTGGCGTCAGCAACGAGTGTGGTTGTTGGTGTCTTTCTGTTTAATGTGGCTGGTGTGGTTGGAACGAAATAGGCGAACTTTCCAAGATGTTGAGCGGTCTATGGTTGCAGAATCGGTTCTTAGTGACCTTGTGTAGTTGGTTAGAGTGTAAAGGCGATCCGGATTTGTTTTCTTTCTTAGATTTTATGGATCTTGTAGTTGGTTAGCTGGTTTTGGGCTTGCTCTTTTGCTGCTCCTGTATTCTTGGCATCTTCTTGATGCTTTTTAATAAATCTTGTTATTTATCAAAAAAATATATATATTTCCGTCCAGACTTTGAAACCCAAACCAAAAGGTATGCCATAAAAGGTCTAATTCCAGGTTCACATGCCCCGTCTGGCTACAGAACATTGAAATACTAGATTTCAACAATATGAAAGCTTCAGTTATATATACATATATACCGAACAAAAGGCCAACAAGCAAGCAACTGTCCAAGTGATGGTCCAAGCTAAAGAGGGATTTGATGAGGAAAAACCGTGTGCATAAGTCTATTAACTGACCTTCCGGGAGGACAGGACTAATTAGCTCAGAGAAGTTCATTTGCATCTTTCTTTTTGGTAATTTCTCAGTAAATTCTACAACAATGCTAGAACAATTGGGTAGACGTAAAAACCAAAGCTTGAAACAACAAAACACCCGCCTACATACACACAGGCAATAAATCACAAATTGAATTTTTTAAGAAACAGTGAAATAGATAACTATGAGTTATGGACATCAATGCCCACACCAAATACTATCTCTATCTTGATATTGGGACGTCAATTCCCAGAAGGAAGAATTTGAGGCCGTGTGTCATTTTTTCCTGGCTTGTCGTTGTTCATTGCATTATTTTGTTGTTCATTCAAGTGACATGTGTTTACTGTCTGAGATATAGTTTTGTTTGATCCTATAACATGCATTTAAATAGTTTGCACCTCGTATGGTGCCTTTGTTCTCTCTTGGCTTCATTTATTAAAACAGAAAAGGAATGTCATTCAAGGGTACTCTAGTAAGGAGATTAAAGGATCATACACAAGCTGTTACCTCCTATATTTGTACAACACAGTAAATTAGTAATTTACCAGTCCTAGAGAACCAATAGCGAGCAAATTTATATAACTGGATACAAGCTATATTCACAATGGACTCACCTGCATGGTTGTCACCGAAGTCATTACGCCATTAGAGTTGGGTCGACTTAGCACACTTGAATCTTGATAAAATTTATAAACCAATTCCGGGGATTCGTGAAGAATGTGGTAATACTGCTCAACAAAGGCATTACCAACAACTTGGGCACTGGGAAGAGCAGTAGCAGGACTTGCTGCCTGCATTGCCATCTGCAAAGGAAATTAAACATGAACATAATAGAAGAACCATGGTTATTAGAATTCTACAATTCATGATTCGATAAGAGTTTCAACAAAAACGATTCAAATCGTTTTGTTGAATCGGAAATTGAGTGAACCATACGATTCAATTTACCATTCATTGCAATTCACTACGATTCACACAATTCAACGCGATTCAGTTTTATTTCTATTTTTGTTTACACAATGCATGAAACAACATTGTTTTCGCCAAACTAGGAAGATATATAGAAGACATTAATTAGTTATATTGATATACATGATTTTATACGTATATATAATATACATATATATAATTATATATTATATTAAATAAAATGAATCTTACGATTCATGATTTGATAACACTGAGAAGAACATATATTATAAATTAATTGCATAGAAAAAGAGATGAAATTATATCTGAATATAGTATGAGTAACAAACAAACTAAAATAAATAGAAAAAATAAGGTTCATTTGTGCATTAAAACAAAAACTAAATTAACTATTAAAGAAATTTTAAAAACACTAACAAAATATTGAAGAAAAACGGAAGACACAAAAGTGACAAAATAAATACTGATAATTGAAAGGGACAAAAAAAAAAATCAACTAACAAAATTCCAGTTGCAGCAATAGTAATAGGAAGGAACCAAAAATGAAAAGTAATGTGACATTAAACCTTTAGAATAGAAGAAACAAGAAAGGATAACTTCGATATCAAAGCTCAGATAAACCACACCCAAAAGGGAATGGGGGGAAGCCGGGTGGGGTTTGAGCATAAAAGAAGCAACGACAATGCAATAGACAATATTGGCAACTACAAGTAACATCACTTCAGAGACGCAAAAGGGTATAAAAACGCAAGTGGATGCTTTCAAACAGCCTCATCTGTAAGAAAGTTTCTCTCTTTTCCTATTCATATGACCCTTTTTTCCCCCCTAACAGTTGAAAAACAGGAAAATTCTTCTTTCTTCATATGAATATTTTTCTTTTGAAAGTTGAAACCAGTTGTACATGTTTCCTTCTTCATAGAAAAACTTCTCTTTTTCTTTTTTTCTCAAAGTTTATTCTTTCTTTTCTATTCACATGAAAGAAAAAAAGCCAAGCAATAAACAAAAGTACTAATTGAAAAATTACAGCCATACAGACAGTAATAAAGTCCATGATTAAATTCTAACCATCTACTACATGAAATCAGGGATTTGTGGCTTGAATAGGACAGCCACAAACACCAAGGCACTAACATGGCAAATCAAGGGAACGCTAACTAACACCATAATTGTTATTGTTATTATTATTAGTTTTTTAAATAAAAATAAAAAAAGAAGGTAGTAAAAGGTATTGCCAAGACAATACAATAATGTCATATATATCTCTAATAAAGTTAAACAAATATAATTTTGCTTAATCTTGTAAATTTTTATGTAAAAATTTGCATGATTTGGAAGTTTCAAACTCGACAAACATCAAATACATTATACTCTTTACCCTTTTTTTCTTTGCAATTTTATTATTTTCCTGTATTAAAGAAGTTTCCCTTCCATCCTCAACTTGTGCTGGCTACCCATATATACTACTAAATTGAAAGTTGGACACTGATAGGTGTTTTCGTCTTTTTTGTTTGCCAAGTGTATGATATTATGAAATTTAATCTTGAATTGTCATGCCTTCCAAGAGGTGGCAGACACGTGAATGTCAACAAGATTCACTGGCTCCAAGCTTTCTGCCGTAGCAACCAGACAAAGGAGGTGAGAATTCAATTCAGATGGGGTTGGATTGACCATGTGTTCTTTCTCTTGGTCGGGTCATAGGTGTGCCCAACATGTAACATGCCTCTCCATAACAGTTGGCACTTTCTTGTTACTTACATTTTAGGCAAGTTAAACATCAACCAGAACTATTAAACCAACTAGTAGGTAGTTGGTTTAATAGAGTTGAAATATTCAATATCCATAAACCAAGACTATTTATAGTATAGTCATATGATCACACACTATCAGTTTCTTATCTTTTCCTCAGTTGTCTCAGCAACCAAACAAACATTAAGATTTAGAGTATTCATTGAGCACAGATTTGATTTAGAGTTTATATAATCAATTCACACAATTAGACAAGGCAAAATGTTTTGAATTCTGAATGTAAAACTAGAAATCCCATGTGACAGCAAGCAAACCCGAAACGAAATCTACAACCCGGTTGTATTAAACCGTAATAATAACGAAATTCAACCCATAAACCTAAACGAAGCAATAACAAAAACCACAAAACCTCATAAAAGTATCAAATTGAAACCGAGCAAAGCCTCAAATCTAATAAAATTTCGAAAACTAGGGTTCCAATGAACAGTATAAGCAAAACCCAGAGAAACCCAAATCATACAACTAACTGATCTGCCTAAAATCCACGAAATTGGAAAAAATAAAATAAAATAAAAACTCTGAATTGTGATCCCAAGGATCAAAACAACTATGCCTAAAGTTTCGAATCCAGGAAAATCCCAAAAGCAGCTGAAACATAGACTGATCGATTCAATACATTGCCTAGAAAAGCTATACATACACATTTATATAAATCATGACAGCGTGAGAATCTGGGAGTGATAGACGGAAAAGAAGTACCTGTTGCTGAGTGATTTCTTCCGAGTCTTGTAGAGAGAGAAAGGGAGAGATTTTAGAGAGAGAGAGAGAGAGAGAGAGAGACCGATCTGGAGGTCTGAGAGGTAGGCAAAGTACAGAGAGAGAAAGAGAGGAACAGTTGAAGCGCACAAACAGAGAGAGAGAGGACACAGAACAGTGATACGGAATGTGTAATGTATAATTGAGAGACCTTTGAGAGATCACAGAAAAAGGGAAGTGCTTGGTATGTTTTTTCTGCACTTCATGATTTGTTCAATATTTGCAAAGAGTATATCTATATTTAATACAAATTAATAAATTTTAAATTTTATATTAATTTATATGCCATAAAATAATATTTTTTTTAAAAATCAAAATAGAATTTGGTGTAATGATATGATAAGTAGCATATGCAGATTGGGTTAATTTCTAAGTTGACAAATTTTAACCTACTAGCGAATTGACTCATTAATTTTTATCATTTAATAGCCTAATTCAACTCGCTCTCTTTCTTAAATCACATTGGGTTTGGACTAATGATGAGTGGTATTATTATCGCTTCATAAATTATTTTTTACCCTTAATTTTTTTAAGTCTCCACTTATAAATTTTAAAACTCTCAAAATTTCTTTCCTCCCTAAATAATATTAACATTATCTTTGTGAAAATATTTCACCCATTGAATGCACATCCTCCACACCCCTGCACCCCAAAAAAATCCATCTTCTAAAAAATCATAAAAAAATCCACCAAGAAAAAGAAAAAGAAGAGCCAATGTGATTACTGTTTCTGCTGTCTCATCCACCATTGTCACAGTTGATATGCGCTCTCTCTCTCTCTCTATATATATATATATATAAATATTACTATATACACCAATTAGTTTACTAACTAGTTTACCAATTGATGATGTGACATAATTTAAGAGGTTTTAGTATTTGTAATTTGTATAATGAGTACGGTCAATAATAATGTCATAATTAGTGTACCACTAATTAGTACACTAGCTGGTGCATGTAACACCACCATATATATATATACATAATTTCTTAGTTTTGTCGTAATAATTTATCAACTTATAGGGAAAAAATTATAATAATTAGTTTAGTTGGTTTTGTTGGTAGATATTATAAAATTGTAAATTTAGCAGAAAACTACAAAGCAATACTATCGAAGCTACGCGATAAATGCTTAACTTTGGAACTTGATAATGGATTTGGGCTACTTCTGATAACTTCTGCAAGTGTTAAAATTTTTGATCATTTAATGTGTTAAAAAATTTTCATGTTCGGATCTGCATTCCCAAATATTATTTATTTGTTCGGGAATGCCTTCCCGAACAAATAAGTAATGTTCGGGTCTGTATTCTTGAGCTTGAAAAAATAAAAACTTCTGTAAGCGTTAACAATTTTGACAGTTAAATGTGTTAAGAAATTTTTATGTTTGAACCTGCATTCCGGAACATTACTTATTTGTTCGAGAATGCCTTCCAGAACAAATAAGTAATGTTCGGGCATGTCTTCCCGAATTTGAAAAAATGAAAAATTTTGTAAGCGTTAACAATTTTGATCGTGCAATATATTAAGAAATTTTCATATTCAGACCTGCATTCTCGAACATTACTTATTTGTTCGGGAATGCCATCCCGAACAAATAAGTAATGTTCAGGCTTGTGTTCCGCCAAAGGGTTGTCACTGTTACCACAAGAATATTGCCATTGGCGGAGAAGTGTAGATAGTCAAATGGCTATCAAAAGGTTTTTAAAGTTTTAAGGGTGGGTAGGTTTTGAATGTGGGATTTGGAAAGATGGATGGTGGTGATAGAGGTGGGTGCTCTTATAAACCCTAATTTATGATGTAGTGTGTGTAGATTTAATTGTGAGATGGGATGTCTCAAAATTAATGATGTTCTTTTTAATAATTTTATTTGAGATTATTATTGTAATAAAAAAAAGTTAAAAATTAAAGAGTCTAAAATAATTTATGGAGTGTTAATAACAGCACTTTTAATGATTTCTTCATACTTGCTACTAATGCAACTTCCTTCCCAAAATACCCACTTAATTGTTAGAAATAAACATAAATAAATTATGTCCAACAAGACTCGAATTTTTTTCCTTTGCTTCTTTAATAAGGTGCAATTTTAACTGTTGGAAATGGTTATAAAATTCAAGATAAAATCAGAATTTTTCCTAAGTTTGGTCTATTTTTTAGGTGGGCTCCATGCGTCGATTTTCATGAGTCAAAGTGGTAACACGTTCTATGTCGCGTTGTGATTCACGTGGTATATTTGGTTGCTCAAAACTATTACCGAGTGAATGGGAAATTGAAGCCAAAGTGTGCTCCATGAAAATGGAGTTTTTGTGAAAATTCCTAAAGGTTGTAAAATGGCTTATTCCACATTGATTTGGTGGGAAGTTTTGAATGGGTTCATAAGGCTTGGGTTTGGTACTTGGGATGTGCCTCAAGGGGTACCCAAGTTAGGAATGGCAACGGGGCGGGGCGGGGCCGGGGATCACACTCCCCGTCCCCCACTTAATTGTTAGAAATAAACATAAATAAATTATGTCCAACAAGACTCGAATTTTTTTCCTTTGCTTCTTTAATAAGGTGCAATTTTAACTGTTGGAAATGGTTATAAAATTCTGGATAAAATCAGAATTTTTTCTAAGTTTGGTCTATTTTTTAGGTGGGCTCCATGCGTCGATTTTCATGGGTCAAAGTGGTAACGCGTTCTATGCCGCGTTGTGATTCACGTGGTATATTTGGTTGCTCAAAACTATTACCGAGTGAATGAGAAATTGAAGCCAAAGTGTGCTCCATGGAAATGGAGTTTTTGTGGAAATTCCTAAAGGTTGTAAAATGGCTTATCCCACATTGATTTGGTGGGAAGTTTTGAATGAGTTCATAAGGCTTGGGTTTGGTACTTGGGATGTGCCCCAAGGGGTACCCAAGTATTTTAGAGGGAGAGGTTATGGGCAAAATGGGCTAGACCTATTTGACCCAAAAATCACCATACACGCGCGCACCGCCGCCGTCCGGTCGGGTTGGCCTGGGCTTGGGTGCGTGGTGTGAGGTTGGGTTGGGCTTGTTCGGCCCAATACTAATCTTTTTGGGCAAAAAACATTTGAATTTAATTTTATTTTGTATAAAATAAAATCCAGAATTCAAATTAAACCGAAAATAAACTGGTTTGGTTTTACTGTACATCCAAACAGGGCCCTTCCCGAAATAAACTAGTCTGGTTTTTAACGTACATCCAAACAGAGCCCTTCCCATTTTTTGTATCTGTTTATATTATGAACCCAATAGATTCAAATATGTTTGAATTCAAAACCAACAGGTTTCATACCTGTTCAATTTAAAACCAGCAGCCACCTTTACATCTATAAATAGACTATCCTCTCATTTGGATTTTACTCCAATTTTCGTACTCCATCCTCTGATATAAATCTCTGCATTTTGCTGCATTTATTTTCTGAAAGAAAGAATGTAAACACGTAGTGTGTTCGTAAGGCAAACAATTTGTAGTGCTACTATTGTTTGTAGTAGATCATTTCATCCTGGGAGATAAACGTCCAATTTCTGAAAGCACCATGGAGAGGACGAATCTGTCTTAAGGACACAGTGTCAAACACTGGACTTGATCAGATTATAATTCGAAGAAATTGAATCAAGTAAGTTATTTAATTTATTTTCAGTGTTATTATTGTTTATTTAAATCAGATTTTAATTTGTTTTTGGAACAAAATAAAATCTGTTTTTATTTATTTATTTTTATTTCGAGTTTGATTTTTGTAATCAAACAAATTCTTTCATTTCCTTTATTTCTTTATATTCTGGTTGTTGTTCAGTACACAACAGAATTTAATTTATTTAAATACAGTGAAGATTGTCCTACATTAACTATCTTAGAAGCATAAGTGTTTTATTAAAAGTAATGTTAGAGATCTCAAATATTCAATCAATATTTTTATCAAATATTTTACATGGGTGTAGGACTCACATGGAACCTACATGGTGTGGGACCCACACCCATATAAGACATTTAGTAGAAATGTTAGTAAAACATTTGAGGTATCTATCTAGCATTTTCCTTTTATTAATAAATGTTCTTAAAGTGTAAAAATAAAAATAATTAAAAAAGAACAACAATGCGACAGACCCCTAAAAAATACAACCCCACAACTTCCACTCACCTATGATTGGTTCAGGAAGGAAAGGGAAAAAAAAATGATAGGTCCACATCATTTTGGAGGTCACGAGGGTCCACAACTTTGGGGATCCCAAGCATTTTTTAAAAGGGAGCAGCTTGCCTCCAGTCTGAGATCGGGCTGGACAGTATTGTTCGGCCCATGGGGGCCCACCACGAGTCCCGTTTTGATAATTCAAACATTTCAATGTGTAGAACTCGTTGAGTACCATATGCCTGTAAAAAATCGCGTTGATGGGATATCGATAACTATCCCATTGGATCAATTTTTTGTCAATCGTTAATTTGTTCACCGTCCATTTTTTTTAAATACAAAACTGATTTGATCACATAACTATTGATATCCGATCAAAGTGATTTTTTACTCACATATTGTACTCGACGAGTTCTACACATTGAACGGTTCAGATTATTAAAACGAGACCTGCGGTGGGCCCTCACAGACCAAACAAACCGTCTAATCCAATCTCGAATTGGAAGCAAACTGCATCCTTTTAAAAAAGAAAGAGAACAACACGAATCACATTTTACTAATTTTAAAATACGTTCACTTATTTTTTTAGAAAATTCACCCAAATTCTCATACTAAATAATTGCTACAAAATAATTTTTTTACTTTTTTTCCAATAGAATTTTTTGAAAAAAAAAAAATTTGAAAAAAAAAAAAAATAATGTTAAAAGTGTAAGTGGTGTCCATTTTCGTCGGAGTGAGACATATAAGTACACTTATCTTCCCATCAAAGAAAACAAATCGCACTTTTCTTCAAACATTATGGTCTCTGTTGGGCCAGGCCTGATCCCTTACGTGTGTTGTTTTTGTTACTCAATTTTTTTCTCCAACAAAATAGGTTTTTCATTACTTTACATGGTCATGACAAACAGACTATATAAAAAGTTCTTTTATGCTTCTGGCTTGTCTTTTTTATTTTTATTTCTTATTTTACTATTTTATTTTGTATAATTTACTAAGAGAGTTGCTTTTTCTACTCCACTTTACTCTAAATACATTTCATTCTTTGTCATTATTATTCATAGAAGAAAGTGTATTTGGAGCAAA